TCTTTGTATCCTAGAGAACTGGAGAACGATAAATTATTTGGTATAATCGGTGTTGAGGAGAGAGGACTCGTGATCTCAAGGTGTAAATTTTCATACTTGACTCAGAGTTGATATCTCGTAATCATAGGTTGCAGGACGGAGAAGGGGTAGAGAGCTGAAGGGGTACAAACAAACAGATATGCTAATTACAGGTCGGTGCATTACTCGTTTATTTGATCAGAAGATCTGATTAAGCCTAGATTCAACCCGTCCTTCAAGATTATGTTGATTTAAGGAGAGTAGGCATGAATATGTTGAAAGAGAAACTGTATTATTCTAGCTCGGCGGAGAAATCAGCTTTGAGGCAATATATGTGTTCCTAATTCCGAATATAGTGTTTTATTTGCCAGTGGGGTAATTAATCTCTTTAGAGGGACTATCAACGTATTTACAAGAGAGGCATAACCGATTCACAACGATACCTTTTAAACCTTCGTTTAATCAAAAAGGCTAGGTAAATAGATAACTTTCTAGTGTGCTTTCTCTATAAAAGGATAGGTAAATAGATAACTTTCTATTGGGCTTTCTCTATAAAAGGATAGATAAGCAGATAACTTTCTATTGTGCTTTCTCTATAAAAGGATAGGTAAATAGATAACTTTCTATTGTGCTTTCTCTATAAAAGGATAAGTAAGCAGATAACTTTCTATTGTGCTTTCTCTATAAAAGGATAGGTAAGCAGATAACTTTCTATTGTGCTTTCTCTATAAAGGGATAGGTAAACAGGTAACTTTCTATTGTGCTTTCTCAATAAAAGGATAAGTAAGCAGATAACTTTCTATTGTGCTTTCTCTATAAAAGGATAAGTAAGCAGATAACTTTCTATTGTGCTTTCTCTATAAAAGGATAGGTATACAGGTAACTATCTATTGTGGTTTCTCTATAAAAGGATAGGTAGACAGGTAACTTTCTATTGTGCTTTCTTTATAAAAGGATAGTTAAACAGGTGACTTTCTATTGTGCTTTCTCTATGAAAGGATAGGTAAACAGATAAATTTCTATTGTGCTTTCTCTATAAAAGGATGGGTAAACAGGTAACTTTCTATTGTGCTTTCTTTATAAAAGGATAGGTAAACAGGTGACTTTCTATTGTGCTTTCTCTATGAAAGGATAGGTAAAAAGATAACTTTCTATTGTGCTTTCTTTATAAAAGTGATGAGCACAACTATGCGCTATAACATCGGCAGAAGAACGATAGAAAATGACGAGATACTCCTTCTTATTGAGTCAGATAAAAGTTTAAAAGGTATCTTTGTGAATCGGGTATGAAATTATTTAATGGGGGGGGGGTTCACTACAAATCACGTTGACAGTCCCTTTAGTATGTTTATTAACTACTGTAAGTATTACTATTTTTCAGTCACCCCAAACCACCGACTTCCTTATTTCTGAAAGTCAGCACATTTTCACCTTTTTGGAACATTCTAATTCTGATCCTTACAATGCATACATGCATAATACATAGACTACTTCTCTAAACTTGTACATGTATAATTACTGTATGTACAAAATACTTTATGTACGAAATATTACATTTAATTTCTGATCTAATTGATATTTACTACTATTGGTTTCATGGTTTATGTTCAAATGTATTTTTAAAAACTGTGTTTATTGGCAACAAAAACACATAATCAATCAATCATAATATTTACAAACGCAAAATACAAAAACTTAATGGGGTGAGGGAAAGTTTTGTAGATTTTAAGTTTTATGATTTAAGATTTATTAGATCTTTTCCAGAAGAACAAATCCAAACCTGTTTACCATTTAAAAATGTTATTGAAAAAATGATTTACTTTTTATTAAAAAAGCTGAATTGAAGAGTTTACCGTTGGTATTTGTTTAACAGAGTTTAGAATTATAAAAACTATATTTTATCAATCCTTAATTTTCCATGAGAAATATTCAGCAACCCGCTACTAAACTCACTTTTGTAAACCTTATAACAAAACAAAATCTTCTTTTTTCAAATAAGATTTAAAAATATAATAAAAAGGGTGTAGAATACAGTGTAAAGGGAGTAGAATATAGTGTAAAGGGAGTAGAATATAGTGTAAAGGGAGTAGAAATTATTTTATGAAATTATAGAGCACAGTGTGAAAACCTTTAGCGGTTCATCCCCGCCCTTTATTAAACTCGGCAGATAAATAAACTCAACCTAAACCAAACAATCTTCTATTATCTAGTGTACCTGGAGCAGGATTCACTGATCAAACCTCGGCAGGTTCCGCTCCGGGATCAAACAAGGACTGGACAATGAATCAAAGATGCTCCGAAGTTATGAGACAGTGCATGAACAACCCTTTATTCACGCCGATACCTCGGGATACAAGAAGGATCTATTTATATTCTTATTCAAGAATTATGGAATAATGAGTTGTGAGATTGCGCCGCTTTCTTCGTTTCTTTATTCTTAATCGTCTTTAATCTTCTCTTACTTCCTTCCTTCTTTCCTACAATTCAACCTGGATACACGGATACAAAATCTGGTCACCAGGCCAGGTTCATTGTGTACGTACATGCAGCATAAAAGTATTATTAAATGCCGTAATGACATATCTTATTCAATCCATAACTTTTCTTTATCAGTGTAACTAAATGTTAAAAATATTAATTCAAAAAAGAAAAAACGTCGGAAAATTGCAGTTTTTTATGATTTAAATATTTATTTCAGTGCGATTTTTAACAAGTAAATATTATTTAATTTCAACTTTATAATAAAGATCAAAGTACAACTGTCTAACAGAGTACTTTTGTAGTTGGATAGATTTTTTTAAAACATACTACACATTTATTATTTTATTTAACAAGAAGAACATATTTTGAAGGAAAGTAAAAAATACAATTAAAGAGAAATAAGATTTTGAAAAAAGTCGAAAATTTGAATTTTTAAAACCAAAATTTAGTTCATCTCGAGTTTGACATTTATATTTTTGTCGTTAAATATCGCGGTGTACAAACAAGAATTGAGAGTGAACCGTGATTGTGTATTTTTAGATAAACACAGTTTCTATAGGGAACACGAACCAAACTAAAAGAAAAACTATTGCATTTTACAATAAAACCAATGGAAAATAAAAGTTTTTATGGAAAAAAGTAAAGCACCAAGATTTCATGCTATTCTGATATTATGATTTTAAAAAGACCGAATGTTTCCGAAGCTCTAGAATTTGACAAGTGTACTTAATAGCTCAACTAGGATGTACATTGTACATTGTGATATGATGATATGTGACCAAGACTATTTTGACAGAAAAAACATTTTACAGAAAAGAACTAAAACAAGATGGATTATACAAAACTTTAAAAAGGAGTTAAAATCTAGTAGGAGAGTAACAAAAAGAGTTGTCAAAAAAACATAATATTTTACAAACAATCGTAGGACTTCATTATCTAAAAAACTTGAAAGGTTTTGTGTATCCTACTCCAGGCTACTTTTAGGACAGTGTATATAGAATATAAGCAGGTGGATTGAAAGAGTTAAAACGCCACTACTCAACACCCTAGAGCAACTATCTAAAACTAATAAGGTTTAGAATAAATACATACTGTATATTTCTTTTTAATCCTTGTATACACTTTCTATATTTTTCTTTTATCAAAGAATAAATTTCTATATTTGTTTTAGTAGAATGATAAAATTCCTATTTTACTTAATATTCAATTTCGATTCGCTTTCTTCATTACTTTTTATTGTTTTGATACATTTTACTCAGTTCCTTTTAACCTATAACTATTCTTGCAATAAATATTTTTTTTTAATATCTATCACTGGTGAGTTATAAATGATAAAAACATTATAATATATTTCCTACTTTAAGGTTTGTAATTTACGGATAAAAAAACACTTTTAACCAATTCGATTTCTTAGTGGATTTATCTTAAAATTAATATATTTATTTTTTTCCCAGGATAGACTTTATTTCTTTTAAAGAAAGAAAAAACTCTCTATTTTAATCAATATAAGTAATTTTTTTACATCGTAGGATACACTTTCTTTATTTCTCTTTAAGGATATGTTTTCTATATTTATATCTAATCGACGGATACACTTCCTTTATTTCTCATAAAGGATATGTTTTCTATATTTATATTTAATTGACGGATACACTTTCTTTATTTCTCTTTAAGGATATGTTTTCTATATTTATATCTAATCGACGGATACACTTCCTTTATTTCTCATAAAGGATATGTTTTCTATATTTATATTTAATCGACGGATACACTTCCTTTATTTCTCTTTAAGGATATGTTTTCTATATTTATATCTAATCGACGGATACACTTTCTTTATTTCCCTTTAAGGATATGTTTTCTATATTTATATTTAATTGACGGATACACTTTCTTTATTTCTCTTTAAGGATATGTTTTCTTTATTTATATCTAATCGTCGGATACACTTTCTTTATTTCCCTTTAAGGATATGTTTTATATATTTATATCTAATTGACGTATACACTTTCTTTATTTCCCTTTAAGGATATGTTTTCTATATTTATATCTAATTGACGTATACACTTTCTTTATTTCCCTTTAAGGATATGTTTTCTATATTTATATCTAATTGACGGATACACTTTCTTTATTTCTCTTTAAGGATATGTTTTATATATTTCTATTTAATCGACGGATACACTTTCTTTATTTCTCTTCAAGGATATGTTTTATATATTTCTATTTAATCGACGGATAAACTTTCTTTATTTCTCCTCAAGCCAAGGATACATTTTCAATATTTCTCTTGTACCGATGGATACTTTTTTTCTATTTCTCTTTAATTGAAAGATACATTTTATTAATACTTCTCTTAAAATTAAGAAGGATACGCTCTTAATATTTTCTAATATTAAAGAATGTAGTTTCTCTAATCATCTTCACGAGCCAACCTGTCCTACCAAAACTAGTGAATACCTTCCTTCCATTGATAATTAAATTAAACAAAAAGTTTTATATCTTTCAACATTTATTTTTGATAAATTATAAATCTGAGGTATATTGGTATTATCACATGACGAGTTAAATATAGATTGTTTCGGGAGTAAGGTTAATCTTCAGTGAATGCTCCAGGAGTAGTATTAGACCCGCGAAACACTCCAAGAAGTCGAATGGAATGCTCCATGAAGTTGGATTGAATTATCCATAAAGTTGGATGGAATTCTCTCAGGATTAATAAAATGCTCCGGCGGCTGCTGCTTGTTGTAAACTATATCTGTAGAGAGCAAGGTTGGCAGGATGAATTCCAAAGTTAGGTTGATATCCAGGATTCATTGGATATCCGCTAGCTTGATGATGTACTGGAGTAGGGGAGTGAATACCAACACTACTGGAGTCTGAAGGAGTAGGAGAAGGGGTTGGAGGCGTTGGAGAACAGGGAGGACTTACTCCTTCATCCTCTAAACCAAGGATACTATCGATAGTGAAGGAGGATTTCTTTTTCTCGGGTTCGAAGGCTGCAGGAGGAGGAGGAGGAGAAACTTGTTCGGAAGGGAAGAAAGGATGGCGGGGAGGAAGGGAATGATAGTAGAAGGGTTGAATGGGAAGAGGAGGAAGAGGAGTGTAAACTGGATATACGGGTTCAGGTTGCTGAGATGCAATGAAAGAGTTCAGGTTGGAGAGAGCTGCAAGATCAGATTCTAGAGTATCCTTCTCATCCAGGTCCAACCTGAACCTTTTCCGTCTCCGGAGTAAAGAACCGTTCTCAAACATAGCGATAGCTTTAGGATGAAGAGTCCAATATGCTCCCTTACCAGGCCTGTCGTGACGTCTTGGAATTTTGATAAAACAATCGTTAAAACTTAGATTATGTCGGAGAGAATTCTGCCATCTTTGTGTGTTCTTCCTGTAGTACGGAAAATTGTCCATGATAAACTTGTAAATGTCTGAGAGTGGAAGCATCTTGTCAGGAGATCTCATCAGAGCCATGGCAGTCAGAGCTATGTAAGAATACGGAGGTTTACTATCTCCGTAGGATTCTCTGCTTGGTCGTGGCATTGTGTATTTTATGTCCGAGCTGGATCAATATTAACAAACAACTGAAGAATTGAAATGGTGTAGTGGCGGTATATTGTTTATAGCGCGGGCCGGGACGGGTTTAGGTTCTCTAGGTACCCTGCTCCTATTGGACACGGAGCTGAAATTTCTGCGCTAAGCACCCTGCTAAACACTGCTACACCATGAGAGAGCGCAATTAGAAAAATTGATTAACTGTGCTAGATCTGGCAAACAAATATCATCAAATATTTATATTAATTTATTTGATAAAAAGGCCGCGGATAGGAATTAAAAACAAAAAACATTTATTTGTCTAGTTCTCGAGAAATGATATTAATCAACGCAAATTGAGACTTTCAGGAGAAAAGTGGAGAAGACAATGATGATAAAAAAAAATAAAAATGAAAAAAGACCAGAACGATTGAGATCACACCAAAAGTGGAAAAGTAACTTAACCAGTTTGTGAAGTTAAATGTAGAAAACAAGAATAAAAGAAGAAAGAGAAAACTAGAAGGAAGAGTAAAATAGCATAAAAAGAACGAAAAGAAAAGATAAAGAATATAAATAATCAAGAAAAAAGAGATGGAGATAAGGAATAAAAGAAAAAAATAAACAAGAAAGGAGAAAATAAAATAGAAATAAACAATGAAAAAAAAATTGAATGAAAATAGAAATAAACAAGGGAAAAGAAGAAAATTAACCAAAAAATAAAAGAAGAAAAAATAAATTAACCACTAAAACGAAAGATATTTACGTAAGCATGAAAGAGGAAATGGAGAAAAGAAATAAAAAATAAGAAAGAGAAGGAGGAAAGAAAAAAAAGAAACAGAAAAAGGAGGAGAATAGGAATAAGTAAAAAAAAATGGGACTATAACAAGAAGATCGAACATGAGAGATTAGATTTAAACAATGATAAAGAGCAGGGTTAACAAGGTTGGAGGAGATAGGTATGAGAAGAAAGATAAATTTTATTTAAGTTTAAAATAATGAAATAAATTAATGTTTGCACCTAAACCTGTTCTCCAAGCCCCGAGATCCTGAACCTTATCTCTTAAATCTTCCGCACAAAGAAACTTTTTATCTGATGTAGGTTTTTAGGGATAAACTAGATAGTTTATAACTAGAGGAGCTGGAAGAGCTGGAGAAGCTGGAAGGGCTGGAGGAGCTGGAGAAGCTGGAGAAGCTGGAGAAGCTGGAGGAACTGGAGGAGCTGGAGGAGCTGGAGGAAATGGAGAAAATGGAGGAGCTGGAGAAGCTGGAGAAGCTGGAGAAGCTTGAGAAGCTGGAGAAGCTGGAGGAACTGGAGGAGCTGGAGGAGCTGGAGGAAATGGACAATGCGAGGAGGAATTATAAAATCTTGAAAGAGTCATCTACAATGGCACTGATTTCTCACCACAAACTCTATTTTTTGGCCTTAAACCATTGATATTCGATGAACTTAAAATTTCGGTTAGATCAAATAGTTAAAGTTGCAATATCTAAGGTTTACACTTTCATCATGCAAAGATAGAAAATGATTGTGACGAGTTTCTTGAGAGATTGTATTATAATTTTAACAGAAATAGACAGAACGCAGACAAAGATAATCGAAGAAAGATTTATAGAAAAGAAAAATGGGTCAAGATAGGGAGGGGAGAGGGTGCTATTGGTAAAGGGAGGTGGGTAAGGGGGGTAGAAGGCGAGATAGGGAGGGGAGAGGGTGCTATTGGTAAAGGGAGGTATTATCGGTCAGTATAAGGAGGGGGTGATGGGGAGGAAGGAGTGGTGGTGATTAGTTTTTGATAACGTTTCTAGGAATTAATGATTTTTCTCTATTTATATAAAAATTGTAATTTTTCAGGATATTCTTAGCTTTTTGGGAATTTTTTTCTATACATATAAACAACTAAATATATGATCTCAATTCAAATAAGCATCTTAATTTTTGGGACACTGCTAACTAAACTAAGATTATCCGAAATTTTCTTTCAGTAATGTTTAATCAAATATTTTAGGTTTAATAAATTGCGTAATGATTTCAACATTTGAGCTTTAATCCTTGAGACTCAACTCTGTCTGATGTTCTCAGACATGGTTCCTCCCACTGATACTCAATCCTGAGACTCCATTCTGTCTGGGGTTCTCAAGACTATCCGGAGAATAGGTTCGTCCCATGGCTTCTGAATCCTCTGAGACTCCGTTCTGTCTAGGGTTTTCAAGACTACCCTGAGAACAGGTTTTTCCCATGGCTTCTGAATCCTCTGAGACTCCGTTCTGTCTAGGGTTCTCAAGACTACCTGGAGAAAGGGTTCGTCCTGTATCCAGGAATCAGGAAACAGACAGCTGTTACATACAATTTTTGATAAATAGTTGTATGGTAAATGGTAATCGAACCTTTCTACTCTACTCTTTACAGACTGTAGACTAAACCTTGAGTGATGTGTATACGGTAATCTCTATATTTCCTAGCTCTTAAGTAATATTTTAAACCTCCTTCAAACAACGTTTTATTAAGAAAAAAAAATTTTAAAAACATCTATTTAAAATTTAAAAATTTAAAAGTTTTTCCCCTCAAGATAGCTGCAGTGCTCGGCACCCAAACCTGTGCTTAGCCTCGGTATAGTCTTAAAAGGACGTAAACGTAATTTTAAGTGACGCTACATTTAAAAATAGCGGCATGTCCAATTCAAAACGGTACTCTTTAAACATTCATCTGAGGGAAAATAAAGAAGATATCGTGGTTGATCGAGGGGAGGAAGGCCAGCCACTACAATTTCTAGTCCGAGCCACATTCTTCTCATTTTCTCGTCCGAGCCACATCTAAATCCTCGTTCTTCCAATATTATTTTTTAAGAGTATCTAGTCCTCCAAGATAAAACAATTTTTTAAGAATCGGGCCACGTTAGGGCATAAATGAAATATTGAATTTTGATAAATCGAAAAAAATAGTTTCAATTGAATAAAAGTTTTCGAGTACTATGTCCTTAAAAATGTTCACCTTTTTTATGCGCATTTTCAGATATTCCTGTTGTAGAATGCCGCAAATAATTCCGAGATTATAGAACTTTAATCTTTTTTCTTGATTATGGTGCAAACCATATTTTTTTTTCTGGGTGGTTCCATGGGGAAAATTATAGGCATATGTATGTTAAATAACATGGCCAGATTTGTTAAAAATAGTTTTATCTTCAAGAGCTAGTAACTTTTTAACACATAATAAGCGAAGGACGAGGATTTCGAGGTGGTTCGGACGAGAAAATTAGGAAAATGTGACTCGGACGAGAAGTTGTTGTGGCTGGCCCTCCCCTCGTTGATCTGTCCTAGGAAATAAAGAAGATATTGTGGTTGATCTGTCCTAGAAAATAAAGAAGATATCGTAGTTGATCTGTCCTAGAAAATAAAGAAGATATTGTGGTTGATCTGTCCTAGAAAATAAAGAAGATATCGTGGTTGATCTGTCCTAGAAAATAAAGAAGATATCGTGGTTNCCCCAATTTTTTTTTAAATTATCATATAAAAAAAATTTGCCCCCAATTAAAGAATTTGCCCCCATTTCTTTCAAATTTGTCAATCCCAAATGGGATTGAAAAGGGAATTATATTGACCCCTGTAAAGGCTTCATTGTGAATCTGAAAGGGTACCATTGTGAATCTGAAAGGGTACCATTGTGATTCTTAAAGGGTACCATTGTGAATCCTAAACGATACAATTGTAAATCTGAAAGGGTACCATTGTGAATCTGAAAGGGAACCATTGTGAATCTTAAAGTGTAACATTGTGAATCTTTAACGATACCATTGTGAATCTTGAAGGGTATCATTGTGAATCGGATATACCCATCTCTGAAAGTAGAGTTTCTAGACTATAAATTACAACTTCAGTCTCTTTATTTACCCAATGATGATTATTAATCTCATCAAGTACTCCGTTGTCCTGAAGTGTGTAAAAGTTGAATATTAACCTCATCAAGTACTCCGTTGTCCTGAAGTGTGTAAAAGTTGAATATTAACCTGATTAAGTACTACGTTGTCCTGAAGTGTGTAAAACTTGAATATTAAACTCATCAAGTACTCCGTTGTCCTGAAGTGTGTAAAAATGAAGGGGGGGGGGTAAATAGTTTTCTAGGATTGAGTCATGAATCCGTGAAACTTCTCATCCTGTTCCTAATGCCTAGCATATTGAAAGGTTTGTGGTTTAAGAACATGACTCCAGGTTGTCTGGTAGATTCTCCGCTCCTAGGTGAGAGTTTAGTCTCCAACATGTCTATCCTCTCACCCTCCCCCCTGTCCTATATGTTTACCCCCCCTACCCCTCCAACATATTCCCTAAACCATACCCCCCCCCCCTCGGAAGGAGTTGGACAAACAGGGGGGGGGGGGGTCAGGACGAATTTATGTCTCCGTCCTGTCTAGCATGTTTGTTTCCGGAATCTCTGCATCCGGAAGCCATGTTGTAAATTCTACTTCCGGTCCTGTGGTTCCAGGACAACCTTTCAACAAGTTGACATCTTGTGAAAAAAATATTGTTTCATCGAAACATTGATGAGAATTTATTTATATATATTTTTAAGCTAACACCTTTATTCTCAAAAAAAATTTTAATTTGAAAATTAAAATTAACTTTACCACAAAAATCTTTAAAATCTTTTAAAAAACACAAAATTAGAACATTGACCTTTTTCGAAATTCTGACATTAAAAAAACGATTTATTTTGCTTTAAATTGAATTCCTCAGTATGAGAAATGTACATACCCCCCCCTCCCTCTTGATGCTGTGGTATTTTCTTGTGTGCAATTAATTGTGTTCTCTTCAAGGGAAATTTGTTCTAAAAATATTTAGAATATCCGACCTCATCCTTGCGTACCTGCCGCGGTGTTTTAGAACTGTCTTATATCCCAGGATACAGATAGATAGATAGATAGATGAATAGACAGATAGATAGATAGACAGATAGATGGATAGACAGATAGATAGACAGGCAGATGAATAGACAGATAGATAGATAGACAGATAGATGGATAGACAGACAGATGAATAGACAGACAGATGAATAGAC